CCTCCCCCTCAGTGCCACCCCGCCCTGTGGCTCCAGCTCCCGCAGCCCCTCACAGCGGGATGGGGTGAGGCGGGGGGCTGCTGTCACCCTCACCTTGGGGGGCACGCGGTAGCCCTGCAGGATGACCTCCTGCGTGGTGTACCTCTGCAGGGTCACTGCCACCGGGTGCAGCCTGGAGGGGACACAACCCACACGTCTGATTTTGGGGACAGCCTGGCCGGGCCACGTCCCACCTCGATGTGTGACGACCCAGCTGATTTAGGAGGGGGGAGCAAAAAGGGCTGGGGAGTGGTTTTTAGGGGTAGGGGGACACACTTCTCCTCACCTGAGGGTCTCCTTGATGGCAGCTTTGAGCAGCCGGATGGTTTTCAGCATCTTCACCCTGTCCCCCCCTGCCTCCCTCTTGGCAGCCAGGACCTCAGCCCTCAGCTGCTCCTGGACCCCCGGGGACCGAGCCAGCTCAAACATGGCCCACTGCAGAGTCATGGAGGTCTGGGCAGCAGGAGAACCAAGCTCAGCACCAACAGAGACCTTCTCCCTGCCCGGCAAGCCCTGCCTGCTCACCGTGTCCACCCCTCCCGCCATCATCTCGGTCACGCTGGCCTTGATGTCGTCCAGGGGCAGCTTGTCCTGCATGATGAGGCTGCAGAGGATGCCCACGTACTCCTTGGTGCTCTTGCGTTGCAGCCGGAGGTCCCGGTAGACGTTCTGGATGCATTTGTCAGCTGTGGAGACACACACGGAGCTGTGGGGTGGCCTTCCTCCTCCTGGGGCTGAGGGGGAGGAGGAGGAGGAGGAAGGCACCTGGTGTGTTCCTTTAGGACGCTGCTGCCCCACCCTGGTGACTTTTCCGTGGGGCTTGTCCCTGCTGTGGGACCTGGGTAGGCACAGTGGGTGGAGAGGGTGTTCCAAAGGGGGGGAGAGTTATCCCAGTTAATCCCAAGAGTTATCCCAGTTAATCCCAAGAATCATACAATCATAGAATCATAGAATCTTAAGGGTTGGAAGGGACCTCAAAGACCATCTAGTCCAACCCCCCTGCCAGAGCAGGGTCACCCAGAGCACATCACACAGGAACGTGTCCAGGTGGGTTTTGAATGTCTCCAGTGAAGGAGACTCCACAACCTCCCTGGGCAGCCTGGCCCAGAGTTATCCCTCTGAGCACAACAAGCTTCTCCGAGAGAGTTGGTGCCCCATCATCTGCCCTTCATCACTCCTGGATGGCTCCCCCAGCTCAGCTCCAGCTGGGAAGATGCCACATCCCTGGCCTCGGTGGCCCTGTGCTGCGTGGTTGGACCCAGAAGAACATCTCCACGGGGCTGAGCTCAGGCCGTGCCCTGGAGCCAAGCCCTCGAAGGGGCTGACAACGGGGAGGCTGGAGGCGAGGTTGGAGGCTCACCCTGGGAGAAGATGGCATCCCAGGCCCAGACGTGGTCCCGCCAGGTCTTGGCGTTGAGGTGGCGGAGGAGGGTGGGTGGCAGGTAGAGCATGGGCGAGGTGGTGTGGAACATCAGGGCCACGGCGTCGATGAAGCGCTGAGCCTCGGGGTCCACGAAGTCCTGCAGCAGCCCCAGCCTCTCCCCGTACAGCACGTGGCACACGGCTGGGGGCACGGCACCCGTCAGGGGACACGGCCAGCAGGGACCCTGTCCCCGTCCCCTCCACCCTCCCCGTGGCCTTTCCGTGACTGCAGGAACCTGGCTTGGCCTCTTGCTCTCTCCGAGCATCGCTGGGCAATGAGTAGGGTTGGCTACTACTAGTCAGTGATGGTAAGAGGTCTGAGTTGGTCTCTCCTTGTCTGGAGAGAGGACACCCCTCTGGACCTTACAGCTTTGGGGGAGAAGCTTGGTTTTCCCTTCTGAGGGTGGAGCTGGGGTGTTCAGCCTGGAGAAGAGAA